TTTTTTTTGTGATTAACCTTTGAAGCTTTAACTAAACCAGTAAAAGAGCTTGTTGATTATTACAAATAATTTGCAGTCTATGTTCAATTTTGTTACATTATAGTTGGGTCAATTATAATTGAAGAGTGAAGAGATTATAGTTGTGTTATGTTGTGATTACTATTCTTGTTGTGATTTGTGAACAAGCATGATTTTGTATTGATATTTTTATTTTTCCATTTTCAGTTTAAATGACGACAAATAGGGATATCGGCTGGAAATATGCTACTAAAGTAAACGGGGAGAGAAGCATTGAATGCAAATTTTGCCGTCATAGATCAAATGGGGGCATTACTCGTCTAAAAGAACATTTAGCACAAACTCGAAAAGGTGTTGTACCTTGTGATAAGGTTCCAGTTGAGGTGAGCAAAGAAATTAGAGACAATCTTCAAACTTTCAAGACTCTCAAAAGCAAGAGGAATGAATTGCTACGTGAGATTGGTGAAGGTCCAGCGGGCAGTAGATTGTCTCAAGATACGGACGGGTTTTCACAAGGAGGAAGTAATAGCCATTCCAAAGGCACCGGCACATTAGACAAGTTTGTCCATTCCGAACCGAGACAAACAACTCTAAATTCAGCATACAAAAAAGAATTAAAAAAAGATATTGATCGTCGAGTTGCTCGTTTTGTGTACTCTGCGGGACTTTCCTTCAATGTCGTCAACGATCCTCATTGGTTACCGATGGTTGAGGGAATTGGGGAATATGGCAAAGGGTACAAACCTCCTTCCATGCATGAACTAAGAACGCGCTTGCTTAAATTAGAGGTGAGTGACATTAATATTATTTATGAGGAGCACAAAAAAATTTGGAAAACATATGGATGTACTATTGATGGGTTTCTTCTCAGATCTGGGACGGTCTAATGAGAAAACGTCCGGATCTGGGACGAACCGGTACGGATGAGCTTAGATCTGATGTGATGGCGATCGAACCGTTGTTGTGAGCCGCAAGAACACCTGCAAGAACTCAACGCCGGATGGGTTTCCGACGTAGAGCCTCCGACGCTCAAGTCAGTATATGAGAGAGGTGATGATAGCTGCTATCAGAGCAGCAACAGTAATGAAAAGGATATGGAATGAATGGGAGTTAGGGTTTTGGGATTACCTCAGTCCTTTATATAGGAGTACAATATATACCTGAAGTCCCCAAAGTGCCCCGGCCGACTTAATGGAAATGTCCAGAATACCCCGGTCGGTTCATATTCCGCCTACTTCCTAGTCAGCATCTAGATCCTTCCTTAGCTTCCTTCTTATCCTTAATTCTTCTGCAATATGCTGAGGTGTGTCAAAGCTATCGGGCGCCACGAGCTACAACTCCCTCAGTCGACCTGAGATATTACGTCGAGTCGACTGGGTCGCACTCAACTGTTAGCAGACCCTAATACGTCTGACCGTTATCTTACCAGAGGTCGACTTACTCTAGTCGACAGGTGTACATTGACTCGGTCGAGAGCCGGGCTTCTTGACTGAGTATCATGGAACCTTACTAATAGAGTCGACTTTGCTGAAGTCGACTTGGTAGTCTCAAACCGTGACGATATGAACCGCTATGAGCCAATCGCGGCAATGCCGCGGTTACTGAACCGATGCACGACAGTATGGCTATATCAACTATAATGTCCGATGGGTGGACGGATGGGAAGAACAGAGCTTTAATAAATTTTCTCGTGAATAGCCCTGCTGGCACTTTTTTTCTGAAATCTGTTGATGTTTCTGACTTTATCAAAAATGGTGAATTGATCTTCAACTATCTTGATGACATTGTGAATGAGATAGGGGAGGATAATGTTATCCAAGTTATCACTGATAATGCTAGTAATTTTGTAAAGGCGGGGAAAAAGTTGATGACGACACGGAAATCTTTATGGTGGACACTTTGTGCGGCACATTGCATTGATCTCATGTTGGAATCAATTGCAAAATTGAGTATATTTTCAGATACGATTGAAAAGGCTAAAAGAGTTGTGAAGTTTATTTATGGTCATGGCACCATCCTTTCTTTGATGAGGAAGCATACAAACGGGAAAGAGCTTCTTCGTCCTGCGGTAACTCGCTTTGCCACTGCTTTCTTAACCCTTCAAAGCATGTACAAGCAAGAAAGGCCTCTTGAAATTATGTTTGTTTCTGACGAATGGGTTAATTCTCCTCAAGCTAAAAAAGTTGAAGGAAAACTTATCAAAAGAATTGTCATCAATGATCCCGATTTTTGGCCGCATGTAGCATTTTGTGTTAAAAGCATTATGCCCCTTGTTAGCGTCTTAAGGGAGGTTGATTCGGAAGAGAGGCCGGCAATGGGATATATTTATGAGCTCATGAGAAGGGCAAAGGAGACCATTAAATTTAATTGTGGGGGGATTGAAAAAAAATATATGCCAATTTGGAGAAAAATTGATGATAGATGGGCTCCACAACTTCACCATCCCCTACATGCGGCCGGATATTATTTGAAACCGCAATTGCGTTATGAAGATTCCTTTTGCAATACTTTGGAAGTTAAAGATGGATTGTATGCGTGCATGGACCGAATGTTATCGTCCGACGATCGTCTTCAAGCCGATATTCAATTGGATTTTTATGACAATGCACAAGGAGAATTTGGAAGTCCAATGGCTAAGAAGTCTAGAATGTTGCGTTCTCCGGGTATAATATTCATAATTATAGTTTATTTTTTCATGCATTTTTACGTCTTTAAATAGTTATTGAATTTTTTGTCATCATTATTTTAGCAAAATGGTGGGAACGGTTTGGAAGCAAAACACCCGAGCTTATGAGCTTTGCTATATGGGTTCTTAGTCTTACTTGTAGCGCTTCGGGATGCGAAAGAAATTGGAGTACATTTGAGTCGGTAATATTTTTTAATAAACTTCTTAAATGATTTTTATTTCTTTTCTTATGTACTACATTTACTAAATGTTTTCCTTTTCTATTTTCTTAGATACATACGAAGAAGAGGAATAGACTTGAACATTCAAGATTGAATGCTTTGGTCTTTGTGAAGTACAACTATAGATTAAGGGAGCGAAGTATTAGAAGGAGAGACAAGATGGATCCCATTATAGTTGATGAAATTGATTCGGATGATGAGTGGATAACGGAGTTGGAAGATCCCGTCCTCCCGAATAATACTACTTGGCTTGTTGATGATGAGTTGTTTGAAGGGGATCCTATTGTTAGTATGCCATCGGGAACCTTTGATAGCCTTTTGGATTCGGATAAGCGAGTCGAAATTGATGTTGATAATGAAGATCAAAATCATTCTCCAATTATAAAGAAGAAAAGAGCCGGTGAAAGCTCAAGTAAGTATTGATCTCTTTTGAATTGATCTTTTTTGGGACTGAGGTGTTTTGATCTCTTTTGAATTTATCCTGCTTTTTTTTTGGCTTTAGCAGTAGTAGGCATCTGTATTTTGTAGTTGTCTTTTATTGGTTGGTGGCTTTTTCTTTTTGTATGCTCTGTTAGTATCCCTGCTGCTGTTGGCTTTTTGGTGTTATGCTGGTGTATGTTTATTTGGCAGTTTGGTAGTTTTATTTTGTATAGGTTATTTAGGTTGCCTTTTGTTTGTGCTTTTCCTCTTGGTTAATTATGTAATCCTAAGGGGAGTGTGTACTCGTTTTTACTGGTTGATGGTATAAAATCTCTTCTCATGGATGGAAAAAAAAGCTCAAGTAAGTATTCCCTTTTTTTTTTAGAAAAAAATTGTTGGTTCTTAAATTCTACTTGTATGTAATAGGTGGAAACAAGGATCCTATTGACATTCATGATGATGAGGAGATGCAAGAATTTGGTGAAACTGGACCAACGATCTTTGATAGTGGAAATCTCCCACACTTTGATAGTATTGACGATGATAGTCAAATTCAATTGGATGAGACCGATTATTTTTAGATTTTGAGTCTTTACTTTGAAGATTATATGACTTTGGGTTGTTTGTATGAACTAATATTCGAATGTTGTTTTTGAGATTTAATGTCTAAGTTTATGGTTTAAGACTATTTTAACTATTTATTTACATGTATGGTTATATATATTATTATTTTTGGTATTTAAAATGAACTGCTCGAATAGCTTACGCAATGCGCTACGCTATTTACGCTACGCAATATCAGGACCAAAACGCGACGCGACGCGCTATGCACATTTTAAAACACTGCCTGCGGCAAACCGCCGGTTTAACCAGACCGGACCGGTAAATATAAAAAAAATATAACACACAAACATATATATATATATATATATATATATTCAATCATTCACTATGGCAGATAAATGCAATACATTCTGTAACGCACCGTATTTTATTAATAAAGGAAAATACTAGCTTTTAGTTTTAAGCTAGCCTTTATTAATAATAATCATGTTCATGTTCAAGTTCAGGTTAATCAGTCAGTTATATGTTCGATTATTAGTCGATAAGTTATTCGGTTTAATTAATTCAGTAACCGAATAAGTTTCAGATTTAATTCTGATTCAATTACTTAATTAATGAGTTCAGAATTAATTATTCAGTCAGGAGTATCCAGTCATGTTTTTAGTTCCGAAATAATAATATTTTCGAGTATTATTTTCGGAATTAATTATTTTCAGTCGAGATTACCGAAAATTATTTTCGACGTACCGTTTACGTTCGGAATAATTTTGGTAATTAAGTATTATGCTTAAAGGTTAATAAAGAATAATTAAGTGATTAATTCAACATTAATCACCCATTAAGGTTAAGAGGCCGTACGAAATTTCATCATGTATTTCCTAAATTTCATAAGTGTTTTCTTAAGCTTAAGGTAAGCATTTTCTTTCTATTCTTTCAAGCCTCATACGTGTCCTCATTTGGGAGTTTAAGGGAGGGATTAGTCATCATAAACTATCTAAATTATGAGCAAATGGCAAGCTTAAAAAGAGGCCACGTTTAGGCACCATCATTCTCCAAATTGTTACTTCATTCGGTTTATATAAATTGAGATACTTGGGAATTTTTCCCATCTCATTTTCAGCAGCTATATGTATATTTTCCTCCCAATTAGTTTATATATTCAGTAAGAGTTAAGAGGTTTTGAGCACCGTACGCTTAAGAGGTAGCAGCACACACGGGCACGCGCACGCAAGGTCACGATCAGCTTGCGAATTTCCGGCGAGCACTTGAGGAGGTAAATCCATCCTCAACTCATTTTCATGTCAATAAGTTCATTTGAGGGTGTAGTGTCCGATTCATGTTTCCAGATTTCATAGACGTATCATGATAAGTTCGGTTATGTCTAGTTAGGTCGTGATCGAGTAACTTCGTATTTTATCCGGCAACTCATGAACAGTTCATGTTTATTTGATCAGTTTAAATCATTTTACACTCAGTCATGTCATGTTGGTCGGAGCAAAATATCGTTCATCCCTAAATTGGCTCACAGCCGTCGGCAGCGCACGTCGCGCATGGCCACGGGCTGTTCCATGTTATGTTATGTTGTAGTCAAGTTTGTCCGTGCAGTTTATGTCT